TAAAGAGATCCCTTTCCTCAACAGACTATATGATGTATTTTTGTGTGCATGTTTCAATTTCCCTACACAACTTTTTGTCTGACCTGTGAAGTTGCTGAAGACACAGAGGGGGAAGGTGAGGCAGGCGGGGTGAGCAGACTGCAGGGTAGGTTGAGGGTGACGTAGTGTTCGTGGCTGCAAACGATTCTCAAGAAATCAAGCCTCAAAGACTCCAGGGTTGGGTTCTGCAGAGTGTAAAGCTTTGTGGACACCTGGAGAGTGAAAACAGTACACTTCAATAAATATTTTTAAAGAAAATACTACTTTAATGTATTATAGCCACACAAATACAGAATGGGAGGATGCGCTGTCAAAAGAGAAAAATTAAATCTTGAAATATCATCACAAATGAGTCCTTAATATATTCTTAGGGCCTTGAAGCAACTCAAAATGCTCTATTTATAAATCTTAAACTGATCACAAGACTCAGCATGAAAGGTATGTGTCACAGCACCAGAATAGGACAAAGACAATAGGACAATATCTTGATGTAGCTTCCAATAACAACCCATAATAATGAGCTTATGGGGAAATACACAAATCAATTTGCATACTTCTCAAGTTAGCTTTCTCTTCACTCATACTAATACTGTTTAAATGATATTATCTTTTAACATAAAGAACAAGGGTTGGGGCCAAAATTGTGTTTTAAGATGTCACGGTGACTTTGATCTTTGACAACCAAATTCTAATCAGTTCCCCCTTGAGTCCACATGGACATTTCTGCAGAGTTTGAAGAAATTCCCTTGTTTTGTTTTTGTTTTGTTGAGGCATTTCTGAGATATTGTGTTCTCAAGAATGGGACAGATAGAAATAAGGCATTTACCTGTTTCCAGTATGCTCTGATTAGGGTGAAGACAAAGCCTCGATCCATGACTGACAGCAAATCATTGAGGAAGAAGGCCAGACTGGTGTTTAGTCTCTCCACCAACTCTAGGTCCTGATTGGAAGAGATACACACATCTTATAAAGTGTCCAGAGCTGGCAGCTTGGACTGCATTCCCATCAGCAGGCCCTTGCTTACCTTTTGGAAGCGAGACACGATGTCGCCAGCGATGGTGCTGACCAGGGCTGTGATGTCATCCATGAAGCGTTCTGGGAAACGGTTCTTTCTGGGTGACTCTAAGCGTTCAGTGAAGTACAGATGGTGGATTATGCTCTTTACCTGTGGTAGAGGTGTTAATTTGGATAAAACACAAGAAACTGTCATGGAAAAAGTACAGCACTGTGATGACTGATCTGAGAAAAGGTAGTCAAAGCAATTTTTAGGTGTAAAAATGTTGTTTCCTACCATGAGTTCAAAGAAAAACCAGGCCTGTTGTAGAGCGCCCTCCCTGACGCTTCCACTGCTTACCACCCACTGAAGGGCCAACTCCTCATGGAAGAGCTGAATAGAACAGGAAAGTAGGAAACAAAGACAAAGTGGGAGAGGGAGGGATGGAGAGGGAGAGGCAGTAAAGCCAGACAGAGAGAATGTGAGGCACCAGGACAAGTATCACTGTACATCTTAAAATATACATAGGTCTACATGTTGTGAACAGATTATTCAGTGAAAATACTGTTAACTGGATTCCAAAGTGTATTTACTTAATGGGGGATATGACATGAAATAAAAGTTAAGCAGGTTTAGTTAAAAAAATATTAGTAACTCTAACATTCTCTATGTGAAATAATAATACAGTCCGGTAGAGTTCCTGTGACAATTAAAGACAAATTGAGATTTTACCAGAAAACATTATATATACACACAAGTTACAGGAAGGGTTACCAAATACTAAACAAATATATTAAAAATCATACAATATAAATTACAGTCGTGTGCAACAATTTTTATGAGAAATTATGAAAAATGCACTCTTATCCCCATGCAAATGATAGCTGTCATAATGCAAGTTCCTGACAATGGTATAAACGACTGAAAATATTTTCCTGTGTTCATGGATGTGCATAGATTTTTGCATGGAGAGAAGTACTTATTTTTCTTAATTTCTTTTAAGCTCTATGCATTAATAACTTTATTTAGGTGTGTGTTATTGTACAAAACCAACATCCAACACAGTCTGGTTAACACACTGGCTCTTGTCCAGAGTCTGGCAAGTCTTCCTTAAATCATGCTGATATATAATAAAGATTAGAGAGGGGCAAGACCTGTTTGATATCTAATCATTGCTACTTCTTTAAAGTTGTTAGAAGCGACAACTGAGTGTGGCTCAGTATAAACAAAAGAGCAAACTCCATAACCACCTGTTTATACTTGGTATATTTAGTGGTCATGGGTGATGCCTCCCCTTCTGTGGCCCCCTTGACCTGTGGTGTTCCCCAAGGGTCCATCCAGTGTTGCTGCCACTTGGGCACATAATAACAAGCTAATAACAAGCACAATATTTAGTACCACTGTTATGCAGATGACACACAAATTTATGTCCAATTAAAAACCAGTGAAGATGGACATTTTAATCATCTTTTATCCTCTCTATCAGAAATAAAGTGCTGGATGTCCCAACCAAGGTCGATCCCTGTTCTACAGAGAAATGTTGGATCCTCTTGGTCAAGTATAAAACCTGCAGCCAGAAACCTGGTTATCAGTTTTAGAATTGATTTTAAGATTTTAATTATCACCTATAAAGCACTTATGGTTTAGCTCCCACCTACATTGTGCCTCAGATCCTCGGGCAGAGCGCCGCTGGCTGCGTTTAGGCTCAGGACCAAAGGCGATCGTGCTTTTGCAGTCAGAGCCCCTGTGCTCTCGAACTCCCTGCCCGAGGGTCGAAGACTTTCAACTTCTTTGACGTCTTTTAAATCACTTCTTAAAAGATATCTTTCTTAAAAAGCATTTTATTCATTCTAGCACGTTTAATTTCCCATCATGTTTTATCTATTATATCGGTATTGCTGGTCTTAGCATATATTAGCGATGGGTACTTTGTGCTTTTCATTTTGTATCTTATAATTCTTTTAATTGTTTAAAACTATCTGCCTTATCTTATTTATCTGCTTTATTGTTGGTATTGATTTTTACTGATGGGGGTCTTTTATTGTTTTAATACTACCTCATTTTGTTGTGATTTTATTTCTGACTTTATTTTGCCTTATTGCCTCCTGGAATGTTTTTAATCCTGGTTCCGGCAATGGAAGGCACTTAAAATGTGCTGTATAAATAAAATGTATTATTATTATTATTATTATTATTATTATTATTATTATTATTATTATTATTATTATAATAATAATACCTGATTTATTATAATAATATATTATTATTATCTATTATTATTCATTATTATTATTATCTATCA